GTCAGTAGCAGTTATGATCTAGATAGTTCTACAATTTACTCTTTCTTTCTATAGTGGTCTTATGGTGTATTGTGCTGGGAAGTATTCAGTCTTGGTAGGGTACCTTATCCTGGTCTAGATCCAGTAGGAGTAGTGGAGTTACTGGATGCTGGAGGAAGACTGCAGAATCCAAATAATGAAGCATGCTCACAAGAAATGTATGATAATGCACATAGTTTATCATTATTGTTATTTTTTATGCTACAAATATTTTATGCTTTCTCCTTTATGCATACAGTTACTCACTGATGATGTCATGTTGGTCTGAATCACCTGATGATAGGCCAGCGTTCAGTGATTTGGTATCATCAGTCAATGCACTCATTGGACCATTGGCTGACTATGTATCTGGACTCCACTAACTTTAATACAACATTTCTCTACATGGACCTTTTATTTTTTTTTGCAAAAAATATACCTTTTCAATCAGTTTTCTTATCAACTTCAATTTTTTAAGTTACGGCCATTTTAAGAAAATGTCAAAAATCTGAAAAGTACCCAAGACTATAGTCCATGGTTTTTTCCAAAAAAATGACCAAAAAATGACCCCCAATTTTTATTACACTTTCTGATACATATTGATGTCCTTATGCTGTGTAGAAAGTTCAAAATGATTCCGACTTCAATTTTTCAAGTTACGGCCATTTTAAAAAAACGTCAAAAATTTAAAAAATACCCAAGGCTATAGCCCATGGTTTTTCCAAAAAATGGCCAAAAAATTACCCTAAATTTTTATTACATTTTTTGATACATATTGATGTTTTTATGCTGTGTAGAAAGTTTGAGGTAATTCTGACTTCAATTTTACAAGTTACAGCCATTTTAAAAATGGCAAAATTCTAAAAAATACCCTGTACTATAGTCCATGGTTTTTCCCAAAAAATGGCGAAAAAATTACCCCAAATTTTTATTGCATTTTTTGATACATTTTGATGTCTTTATGCTGTGTAGAAAGATTGAAGTGATTCCAACTTCAATTTTTCAAGTTACGGCCATTTTAAAAATGGCAAAATTCTCTGATTTTTGTCATGTTTTTTTAGATCAAATTCCAGCATCAGAATATACATTAATTGTTAATATTCAAGCAGCAAAAAACATTTATTCACAAGGACACTATTCTACTTAAGTAACTAATGAATGTTTGTATGAGATGAGCAAGTGAGTTCCTGTGAACTGAACAGAGCTACCCAGCTACTCATTGTACATTTTACAAAAGAGAATATAAGGCCATAGAAGCATAAGAACACATACATCCACAAATCATTAATTAACACACAAAATATAGCATCAATTATGGCATGCACATGGCTAAAATAGCTTGATACAATGTATTTTAATCTTGAATTACTTTAGCTAGGTTTACAGTATTTGCAACTTCAACTGTGGCGTCAATCGCAATGAACACAGCATGAGACCAAACTGGAGTTGGTTTTAGTTGCATTAAACATAATGATGTAATGCACAGTATAATTTTAAACACAGTTTTACCAGGTGTTTAATTATCATTAAGATCAATTGAATCAAATTCACTGACTGTATCTCAAGTCAACAATTGACTTACTCAATCAGATTCTGATGAGAATTGTATAGATCTAGACTAGCTATGTACTTCAACACTAATGTTACCTTCGGTCAAATTATCATTTTTTAATTGAATGAGCAGAATCACCATAAACAGCTAAAATATTAGTAAGAGGTAAAATTATCTGGCATAAATCTAGATCTAGATCTAATACTGTATTGTAAAATTTGTAAATTAATCAGCATCAAAAATGGGTGTGGTTTTAGATTTGCAAAGCCGCTTCGGAGCAAAGCAAGTTCTATCATGACTATGTCTTTTCTATCTACTTTGTCTGCCGTTCTGCTCCTTCTCCATTTTCTCTTTTTTCCTGCTTCGTCTCAGTCTGACTGCTCTCTACCTTCCCAGTCAAATATAACTCATTTTATCACAGAATTCCTTATTCACAATAATGGAAGTGTGGAATATTCTCCTACAATCATTGGTTCTGTGCATTATGTATGCCAAGCTCAAGGCAGCAGTAGAGGTACCTACAGATCTCTCTCCATCATTGCTACCTACACTCCTAATCCTGGGCAGTCTCAGACAAGAGGCATATTCCAGTTAATGTGTAGCTCTGAATCATGGGAACCTGATCTTGATGGAGGAATTCCTGTACCAGTGTCTGGGCTCATTGATATACCCACTCGCACTGACTGTCTGCTCTGCAATCATAGCTTTGGTAGTGATAGGTGTCATGGTAAGTTTTTTAATAATAATTCTATAGTGGGCCTCATATGCTCACAGGGCCATAATTTTTCTTACTATTTTTTCTCTTTTTTCTCCCTCTCCTCTCTATCTTTATAGCCTGTGACAGTAGTTGCAATACTGGTCTCAGAAGATGTGTTGGCTCACAGACCAATTGCTGTTCTTATTTCTCTTCATCTGATCAGTGTACCACACAATGCCCCACTAACTTTAATGCATCTGCTTCTAATGGCTTCATTTGTAGTAAGTATAGACATGGTATAGATCTATAAAGCTACACGTTATATATTCAATTACCGTATTGTGTGTTATTTTCAAGGATAACAAATTTTGCGGATTTTTCAAGATTTGTGAAATTTAATTTCTTGAAAATCAATTTAATACTGCCAGATGGCAGAATAGTGGATATTCGCGAAAATTAATTCTGCAAACTTCCGGATACCAGTCATTTGTGAAATTTATTATCCTCAAAATAAACCTGCTATACAGTACGATGTAGCTTTAAAGTTTGTAGGGTTTATATTTGCAATTTTGAGCATACCGTATAGCGCTTTAATTTTGCAAAGCTAAAATTTTGTGGATTGATAAAAATCAATTTTTTGTGGAAAAAAACTTTTGCGAATTCGCAATATTAATGCCATGCCTTTAATGGCAATTGAATAATTAGCGGATCTTTAATTTCGCAGTTGCATGCTAACCCGCAAAAACAGAGAAAGTTTTGCTCCTCGAAATTAAAGCGCTATACAGCAATTTAATGCATACAGAACTTAATTTTGCTGGTGTGGTAATACAGCAATTATCTATATAATTTTTTTGTCGGGTTAAACTGTTATGATGAACAACAAATAGCAAAATTAGATTTAAGTAAAATCTAATATTTCTAGTTATACAGCATTGTCACCTTAAAGCCACTTCTAAATACAGGTACTATAAATTGTGAATTTTGTAGTTGGGTTAAAAATCGCAATTATTAATACCCACAATGCCATACTTATAACTATATATTAGTAATAATTGCTTAATCGCAATTTTTTATACTAACAAAATCTACCTCATGCTAAAATCGCAAAAAATTAGTACCCACAATTAAAAGTCACTTTAAGGTATTCTTGTTTAACTTAATGTTTTAGTTCTAGTTTTATATGATACATTATTTACTGCATTGCCTTCCATAGTAATTTTAGTACTACACCATGGGCCAATAAAAATGTTCTAGTCATAGTTCTAGTACCCAAAAATTTTATTTCTAGTTCTAGTATGATAAATGTTGTAGTTCTATGAAATATTTTTATTTCTATAGTACAATGGGCAATACTCTTCTAGTACCAAAATACTTGAACAACATTAAAAGCACATACACGTACCGCAGCCCTTTAATTAAGTTATAATTGATTGAGTTTTATTTGTGCACAAGAATCAACAAATTAAAACTGCCTATAGTGCATTTTTATAGCAGAATCACCAAATGAAAGCCTATGCAAATTTAGTAGTTTTTATACAATGGCTGTGAAGCTGGTTGTACTCTAAACACTACTATATTTTTATACCGGTACTTGTTTACTGTCAAGTGAACGGAGTCCTTGTCAGAATGGAGGTAGTTATATATACACTTGTTTCACCTTCTTCTAATTTCACCTGTGATTGTGCTATCAATGAATTATTTGCTTGACCCCTATTTGTAAGCACACTATACTAATGTTACTTAACGTTTTAATTACCTGTTTCCCTTTCATGTGCCACTCCTCTCTTCCCCACTCTTTCTAATGACGTACATATGGTGTTTATTGTTTGTGCTATTTATTACATAGCTCAAGGACATGATACATGGTCAATATATGTATGTCATTTATCAGTCTTACCTCATGCATCACTTGGACACTAATTATGTCACATTTGATCAGCTTATTTGCATGAGTATTATAGAATGTTGATGAGTTGTAATAGAGTGATTAGGGTACAGATAATTACTTTATCCCTCCCACCCTTTGTCTCTTAAATAAACTGTTTATGTAAATTTACTCCAAATCTTTTATGTCTACTCTCTTTCTCTGTTCTGAGAGAATTGTATTAGTTGTGTTATGAGTATTAATTCTTTGATTGGGGCATTATTTTGATATTGGTTTTCACTAATTGTGATATTAACAATGCATTAAATTAGTAATACATCTAATTTATTATTAATGTTTATTTCTAATTCTTCACAGCATGTATTACTGGATCAATCCGTCTTACTGGTGGTTCACATGATTGGGAAGGAAGAGTGGAAGTGTGTAATAATGGATCATGGGGCACTGTCTGTGATAATAACTGGGACTCCACTGATGCAGCAGTAGTGTGTAGACAACTAGGCTGGGGAACAAGTAAATCACTTCACTGTGATCAATAATAGTGATAGATTATCATAGGTGGAACTGCTAGAACAAATGCCTACTTTGGTCAGGGTACTGGTAGTATCCTCCTGGATAATGTTCAGTGCACAGGAACTGAACTGTTTCTAGCAAACTGTGCATTTACCTCAAATCACAACTGTAGACATTCAGAGGATGCTGGAGTGAGTTGTTCGATACCTCTACCCATCATGCACTCACCAGGTAAGTTACAGGTTGTGTATAATATGACATTGTTGATTTGTGGTATAGGTTGTATTGATAGATCCATTCGTCTTGTTGGTGGTACAAACAGCATGGAGGGACGTGTTGAGGTATGCAGTGGTGGAGTGTGGGGTACAGTCTGTGATGACTCCTGGGACAACACTGATGCTAGTGTTGTATGTAGACAGCTAGGATATGGTCCAGGTAAGGAAATGATTATAGATTACACAGTGACTATCCCAACATAGGAACTGCCTTTGGCAGTGCCTACTTTGGACAAGGAACTGGAACAATTGTGATGGATGATGTTCATTGTACTGGGACTGAGTCTTACCTTACTAATTGTATACACATCACAAATCACAACTGTGGCCATTCTGAAGATGCAGGAGTCAGATGTGGTTGTAAGTATTTCTTGCATTCCTATGTATGTAATGTACTGGTAGTAAGTTTTTTGCTTTTTCTGATATATGCACCAATCTTTTACATAGCATGAAGCAGTTTAGCAGATGCACGTATCAATGTGCTTATTATGTCCTTTGTCTTTGTAAAATACCATATAGCATGAAATTTTGGATGGAATTAAATTTGGCGGATTTGGCATTTTGATAGAAATAAAATCCGCCATTTTGAGTCATTATATGCATGCTCAGCCGCTAAACGATAATTACAGGGGATTAATGTTTTACTATATTTCATGAAATCTAGCCTAACTCTGACGCATATGAAAATAGATCTGGCTGTGATGTGAATATATCATATAGCGCTTTATTTTGGCAACTCTTTATTTTAGCAATTTTGCTGTAAATTGTAATTTGTGGTTTTTAATTTGGCAATTTTGTGTAAATGTGCATGCTTATTAATGATTGGTGGTCGTAATCCCGCTTGTAAGCCCCCAGTTATTAGAATAAAACTCTGCTAAATTAAAGCACTACAGTCCTTATGCTAAAAGAAGTTTGAGTTTATTTTACTTCAATTTTTTTGAGTTATGATCAATTTTAAAAACTCCAAATTCTGTAATGTTATGTAAAAGTGAAGTATATAATTACTTTTCCATTTCCTGGCTTACTTCATAAATGAATTATTTGCTACCAGATGTCTACATGCCTAACTAGTAACTACATGTACCCATCAATATGTATCAAAATGTAGGGGTGACTATAGAGCCAACATTAATTTTTGTTTACCCATAGCATGTACTCAATCATAATAACTGATTTGGCCTCACCCACACTTTGTGTAGGTAATTACTGTTGTCTGTTTGTCATTCATTCATTCATTCATTTATTCTGTGTGCTATCTTATTTGAGGAGCTTCAACAACAACAAATTTATTCTTATTTTCTAATGAAAGACATTTTTGCTTGTAAGCCTTCATTGCCACACAACTAGTGACATGTGTGTAATGTGTTTTTGAGTCTCTTTTTGTGTAAGCCAACTGAAGAAAGCTTACGAGCCAAAGCATCTCTTTCATTTTAGAATAAAAGCTTCTCGAATGCAGTTTTGGGTGTTTTATCTATTTATTTATTTCCAATTCTTCACAGCATGTATTACTGGATCAATTCGTCTTGTCAATGGTTTACATGATTGGGAAGGAAGAGTGGAAGTGTGTGTTCAAGGATTATGGGGCACAGTCTGTGATGATTCTTGGGGTTCCCCTGATGCAGCAGTAGTGTGTAAACAACTAGGCTGGGGAACAAGTGAGTTGATTCATTGTGATAGTTATTTACAATATATTATCAAAGGTGGAACTGCTCTATCAAATGCCTACTTTGGTCAGGGTACTGGTAGTATCCTACTGGATAATGTTGAGTGCACAGGAACAGAACAGTTCTTGACAAACTGCACACACTTGAGCACTCATAACTGTAATCACTATGAGGATGCTGGAGTAGCTTGTCATGGTTAATTTCATAATCAAACTGTATTGTTAAGTAATGGGTTTATTACTTTAGTTTGTACTCCTGGTACTGTGCGTCTTGTTAATGGAGCAAACTCCAATGAAGGGAGAGTAGAACTGTGTCAAAATGGAAAGTGGGGTACAGTCTGTGATGACTCCTGGGACAACACTGATGCTAGTGTTGTATGTAGACAGCTTGGTATAGGAACATGTGAGTTAGCTAATATCATGTATTGTGAATTCTCTTCTTTTATTTAGTTGGAATAGCTCTCAGCAATGCATACTTTGGTCAGGGAAATGTATCGATATTACTGGATGATGTTGCCTGTGATGGAACTGAACAATTTCTAGCAAACTGTACATACACTTCAAATCACAACTGTGGACATTCAGAGGATGCTGGAGTAATGTGTCTAAGTGAGTGTATGATTTGTATTTGTGATTGTTAATTTGTGGTAAAGTTTGCATTGATGGATCCATTCGCCTTGGTGGTGGTACAAACAGCAAGGAGGGACGTGTTGAGGTATGCAGTGGTGGAGTGTGGGGTACAGTCTGTGATGATCTCTGGGACAACACTGATGCTAGTGTTGTATGTAGACAGCTGGGATATCATTCTGGTAAGGAAAAGGGTTTATTTCGCATTTTTACTGTCCTAACATAGGAACTTCATTTGGCAGTGCTTACTTTGGACAAGGAACTGGATCAATTGTGATGGATGATGTCCGTTGTAATGGAACTGAATCTTACCTTACTAACTGTACACACACCAAAAGTCACAACTGTGGCCATTCTGAAGATGCAGGAGTCAGATGTACTCGTAAGTATATTGCATAAAGATCCATTATAATTTTGTTGTATTCCTATATATGTAATGTATATACTGGTAGTAATTTTTTTTGCTTTTTCTTTTAACAAATTTTAATTTAAGTTAATAATTATTTTAAGAAGTGGCTTTTGCAGATTAGTAGATCCAAGAGTTGGGCTAAGTAAGCCAGAAAAGGCTAATAAGTCAGCAATTTCATCTCACCAAAGGTTACACTTGCATAGTAGGAGGACTTTTTGGCTCATTTTATCTCTAGCGATTCTCTACTTACATGGGTCTATAGCGATATGTCAGAGGGGTTAATTTTCACTTCACAAGCTAGATTTTGTGAATATAGGTAGCTATAAGCATTGAATTGCATAAATTGGTTTTGCAAACAAAAAAGGAGTTAGAGCTACAATGATTGATAAATCTGGTGATACTGCTTTAAGGCAAGAGTTTTTTTACAGCCTAACTTTAACCAAAATAGATCAATATTTTTGCTTCCTTGTCAAATAAATGTAAGAACTAGGGCAATTGAGATTTGAGTGTTAATAAACAATTCCAAATGAAGTAATCTCACTTCCAAATAATCTTCAGTTTGTGAATAAATGACATTGTAGTTTTAAGGCTATCTTACACGGGGCAACATTGTTGCTTGAAACTTTGTGGTTACTTTGATCTTGTTTCCTCAAGTTGAAGAGTGGTCAACTTGAGGCAACAAAGATCAAAGTAACCACAAAGTTTCAAGTAACAATGTTGCCCTGTGTAGCCTTAAGTTGTACAAAGCCAATCGTATTAGAATTGGTTGTGATAATTTAGCAATTGATATCACTGCAAGGTCATATTAATTCCTTTGAAATGGTATTAAAATAAAGTTAAGTATTAATATTATTTCCAAATCTTCACAGCATGTATTACTGGATCAGTCCGTCTTGTTGGTGGTTCACATGATTGGGAAGGAAGAGTGGAAGTGTGTGTTAATGAATCATGGGGCACTGTCTGTGATGATTTGTGGGACTCCACTGATGCAGCAGTAGTGTGTAGACAACTAGGCTGGGGAACAAGTGAGTTGATTCTTTGAGATGCATGTTATTTATAATTAGTTATATCGCAGGGGGAACTGCTCTATTATTTGCCTACTTTGGTCAGGGTACTGGTAGTATTCTCCTGGATGATGTTCAGTGCACAGGAACAGAACAGTTCTTGACAAACTGCACACACTTGAGCACTCATAACTGTATTCACCATGAGGATGCTGGAGTAGCTTGTCATGGTTAGTTTGTACTTTGTAGTATATCATGTTACCAATATTAGTCTTTTTTCTGCTTTGTTGATTAATTTAGTTGGTTTATTCTTTAAAAAAATTTGGTTGCATATAATCAGTTAACTATAACTCTGAATGCTTACGTTTCAACCTTTTTAGGACTTATTTTGGTTACAGCATCAATCGACAGAGTGACCTGTTTGTTAAATATAATTTTTATAAGGTCTGCAGTGTCCAGTGTGCTATGCAATACAACATGTATTTGTTGCAATAATTTTAATTACTCAAGTTACTATGGGCCTGAAATAGTTCTAGTTATAGTTATAGATTAGTTAATTAAGATGACAGAATCAGTGATTTGTGTTTATTACTTTAGTTTGTACTCCTGGTACTGTGCGTCTTGTTAATGGAGCAAACTCAACTGAAGGAAGAGTAGAACTGTGTCATAATGGAAGGTGGGGTACAGTCTGTGATGACTCCTGGGACAACACTGATGCTAGTGTTGTATGTAGACAGCTTGGTATAGGAACATGTGAGTTAGTTAATATCATGTATTGTGAATTCTCTTCTTTTATTTAGTTGGAACAGCTCTGAGCAATGCATACTTTGGTCAGGGAATTGGATCAATATTACTGGATGATGTTGCCTGTGATGGAACTGAACAATTTCTAGCAAATTGTACATACACTTCAAATCACAACTGTGGACATTCAGAGGATGCTGGAGTGATGTGTCCAGGTGAATGCATGATATGTATATCATATGATTGTTAATTTGTGGTATAGGTTGTATTGATGGATCTATTCATCTTGTTGGTGGTACAAACAGCAAAGAGGGACGTGTTGAGGTATGCAGTGGTAGAGAATGGGGTACAGTCTGTGATGATCTCTGGGACAACACTGATGCTAGTGTTGTATGTAGACAGTTGGGGTATGACTCAGGTAAGAAAGTATTTATTTTGTATTTTTACTGTCCTAACATAGGAACTTCATTTGGCAGTGCCTACTTTGGACAAGGAACTGGATCAATTGTGATGGATGATGTCCGGTGTGTTGGAACTGAATCTTACCTTACTAACTGTACGCACACTGTGTATCACAACTGTGGCCATTCTGAAGATGCAGGAGTCAGATGTACTCGTAAGTATTGCATGTATTTATGCATCTTGCATTTGTATTGGTAGTAATATATTCAGGAATTCATTTTATATATGTAAAAATTAGATGCAGGTAAAATTTAGCAGGGACCTTATATATTTTTAATTTAGGTCTTGTTACATTCTGTGTCTGTTTAATTTGATAATCTGTGTTTTATTACCATATGCGAAGTTGCATTGTGAAGAGCACTGTAAGGTCTTACTAGGATGCAATAATGTTAATTCTGTTTCAATGTTATTTTAGCATTAAATGGAAAATTTTTATGTGATATACGGTATGCCTAAAATGTCTATAGCAGCAATATGATACATGAGCTCTGAGATATCTGCCCGAGGTGAGCAGAAGGTGGATATCGAGGGGTGAAGGTCTTATATGCTGCTATAGGCCAACTATTAAAAGTATATAATAAAATAAATTTACTTATTGTTATAGTTAACTGACATAACAATTATGGCTGCTATAGGTCAAGTAGCTGTAAAAAAATTCATTTCAGTTTAATAGAATTTTATTTATATGCATGTAGATATTTGCCACTAAACTAACACTAAGTCTTCAATGTTTCAGGTGTATAATATAAGCTGTTCATTTCTGCTATGATAACTTGTCAACAAACACTATAATTAGCTAGACAGACTTAAGCTATATTTTTTGGTTGTTGACACAACTTTTGAGCACCTTGAAGGATTCATTAAAACCTAAATTTGATTAAAATCAGCTCAAGCTTTCTACATAACATATATATGTATCAGGAAAAATTATAAAAATAGAAAATTTTCTCATAGCCATTTTGACAAAATTTACCAGAGACATAGCCTTTGGTCCTTGGCCCAATTTTTGAGAAACTTTAAAAATTCATAAAAACTAAACTTGATTGGAATCAGCTTAAAATTTTACACAACATAAGAACATGTTTATGTATCAGAAAAATTGCAATCTGACTTTTTTAATTTGTAAGTGTCATAAAAATTGCCACTTTGAGACAGTAAATCATATAACAACGATTTGTAATGAACTTATGCATTTTAAGTAACATTGATAGTCAATGATAGTACAACTAACAAAAATTCCTGAATAATATTTTACAATATACGGGATATTTTTCCCAGAGTTTAAATTTTTTCTATTTTGCAATTTAAAAATGATTTTTTAATGAAAAATTTATTTTTTATGCTAGTGAAGAAAAAGCCAAAATTTTTCTTTGCAAATAAGTTGAAAGGTAATTTTTACAAAATATTTTTGCCAGAGCAAGTTAAAAGTCATGTTTAAACAGTATAGTGACTATCCTAATGAAACGTTTGAATTACCAAAATAAAATGCATTAAGGAACGTAAAAGACCAAAAAGTGTACCAGGTCATTGCAAATAGATCTATAGTCTGGTCCCGCCTCTTTGTCACACGGGGGTGACAGGCTTTTTCATCGTGAAATGGGCAACGTTTTAGTAGTAATGTATCATAAATATTTTAATTTGTTTAAAAATGGAAGCCTTTTTTGAAGGGCATATATTGTTTGACGTGGCAGTTTAACACACTAATAATTTTAGTAATAACTCTATACAATGTTAGTTATGATTTCTTTAATTTATTAAAGCTATGCTTCATTTCTGCAATGCTGTACCACTACTAGCATTGTGCCTCATTCCTACATCACATAGACAAAATATTACATATCATAGGTATATACTTGAGGTATAGAGGAGACTACTATCCCAATGTATCATACTTTCATGATGCAACCATCAGAACACACCACCTGATGTGTGTAGCCCCTGGATCTACTTTGAATGGTGGACAGTGGGTTAGAGCTATTGATGGAGATCCTGTTACCTGTGACAGCAACAGTGACACTGATCCATTTCGCTGTAATAGCCTTTCCTCACCAAATGCTAGTCTAAGTCTGTACTTACCAAATGGGCAATCTCTTTTGTCCAACAGAGAAGGATTTTATAAGTGCTGTTTACCTAGAGGCTGTTCAGATCCCAATACTAATATCATTACAGTTAATATATTCAGTAAGCAATTATTTTAGTAAGTATGACTTGAATTAGTTTTTACATTATAGGGTGGGCTCAAATTGCTGGGATAAAATTTGAACTCCTTTCAGATATGACAATGCTACCACAGCAATATGTATTGCATGCCATCAAGATTGGTCAAATTAATCACCATTTTTTACTATCTGCTACTTGGTATTACGAGACTGGAGACACTAGCAGCAACCTTACTAGTGTATGCAATGAACAGCAATACAATTGCACTGTTGGTTCTGGAGTACTATTGCATACAATTAATGGAACATATGATTTTAACATAACTATTACATGGAATGGAGAGAATAACAATAGTGGAATATTGAATCAAGCAAACAGTAATGGTGATCACATATTTAGATTTTATTTACAGTTTGGCAATCCCCATGAGAATGTTGTTAGGAATCGTTATTATACAGTTACTGGTAAGCAATATTTTACATTATTCTATTTGACAAAATTGTTTTATACATGTATATAGTTCCAGCATCTACGCCATCTGATTTAATTGTTACTAATGAGACAATTTCAAGTTTAACACTATGTTGGAATGCACTTGGATCAATTGATGCTGATGGATATGTAGTCAATGTTACCATAGGCACAAGTATCATCCAGACAGTACAAATAGAGGGAGGAAATAGTAATAAAACAAGACTGGAGGGCCTAGCATCTGGAACCATCTACAGCATAACTATAAGAGCATATCAGCAATTACTGGGACCAGCTAGTAGTGCAATATTGGGACAAACATTACAAGGTACTGTCATATATAGCATGTACTATAGCTAATACATAAACAAGTCCTGGGATGGGCTCACAATTTTTGCATGGCCACACTGGGTTCTTTAAGCTTGCATTGCTGCATTAACTTTATGGGTGTTGAAACTGAACCTAAAACTAGGCCAACTAAATAGTTTGGTATTAATTTTCAATTTTTTACAGTATGTACTGCTGGATCAATCCGTCTTGTTGGTGGTTTACACGATTGGGAAGGAAGAGTGGAAGTGTGTGTTCAAGGATTATGGGGCACTGTCTGTGATGATTGGTGGGATTCCCCTGATGCAGCAGTAGTGTGTAAACAACTAGGCTGGGGAACAAGTGAGTTGATTCATTGTGATAGTTATTTACAATATATTATCAAAGGTGGGACTGCTCTTTCAAATGCCTACTTTGGTCAGGGTACTGGTAGTATCCTTCTGGATAATGTTGAGTGCACAGGAACAGAACAGTTTTTGACAAGCTGCACACACTTGAGCACTCATAACTGTAATCACTATGAGGATGCTGGAGTAGCTTGTCATGGTTAGTTTCATAATCAAATTGTATTGTTAAGTAATGGGTTTATTACTTTAGTTTGTACTCCTGGTACTGTGCGTCTTGTTAATGGAGCAAACTCTAATGAAGGAAGAGTAGAACTGTGTCATAATGGAAAGTGGGGTACAGTCTGTGATGACTCCTGGGACAACACTGATGCTAGTGTTGTATGTAGACAGCTTGGTCTAGGAACATGTGAGTTAGATAATATCATGTATTGTGAATACTCTTCTTTTTTAGTTGGAACAGNCCTGAGCAATGCATACTTTGGTCAGGGAAATGGATTAATATTATTAGATGATGTTGCCTGTGATGGAACTGAACAATTTCTAGCAAACTGTTCATACACCTCAAATCACAATTGTGTACATTCAGAAGATGCTGGAGTGATGTGTTTAGGTGAGTGCATTAATGTGTATATCATGCATTGATGTATAATTGTTATTATAGAGTTATTATTAGTATTCGCTAAATCATTATTTTTGCATGGTTTCTGAATTGATTCCAGAAATCTAGCATTAATTTTATTCCTATCCAATACTGTACCATAATCTTTGCTGTGTCTCTGAATTCCATTCCTCGATCCTTTTCAATAGTTCCTCCAACTGTCATTGGCACTAACATTGACGCAGTACTAAAAGGTTCTGAAGTAACAATAACATTTAACATATTACGAGCTTTTCCTCTTGTTTCTCTTGATGACATCATTTGGTCCTTCATCAGTATTAATGATGCTGAATCAAGACCCATACTTCTTAATGTTACTTGTGCTGAAATGAATGAAGCAATATGTGTTGATTCTAAGCGTTATGAGAGATATAATTTTATGTTTGATCATAATCTAACAACTTTGACTATACAAGATGTTCAAGTTGAGGATTATGGTACGTTTATACTTAGTGCATCTAATTCAGCTGGAGTTGGCAGCTATAACCATTCATTAAGTGTTATTGGTAAGTAAACATGATTATGTAATTTTTTTAGCTCAGAGTGTTTTTCAAAAATTACTAAGAGAGAATTCTCCATTGTCATTAAAATTTTACATGTACTTACAATGTATATGATGTGTAGAATAGATTTTGCCGTAGGCTAGTTTTAAATATCTTCTCAATTTTTAAATTTTCTGTTTCATATTATGCAATGTGATATTGATTTGAATTAGGTTTTAGTTAATATCATGCTTGTATTGCTGCTTTTTAATTTTCTCTAAAATATGCTCAATTTTTATCATACACATATGTACATTTCATGATAAAGTTAAATTACAAATACTTTACTTACATTTTTCAACCCATTTTACACATTTTAGTCCCAGCCCTGCTTGGCAATGTTAAAGGTGTGGTCTTTAATGAAACTAAGAACCAAAGCCAAGTCATTAACATTACAATGAACTGTACTGCTGATGGAATTCCCAAGCCGGGCATAATCTGGTTCTATAACGATGCTATTTTGAATCTTAAACCACGTGTGACAATTGTTCAACAGGATCTCGACCGCACAATAAGAGATGATGTTGTTCATCCAGATGGTACTTCTGTGATTAGTATACTCAGTATTAGCAATGCTAATCAGAGAGATGACAGTGGTAGATATGTTTGTCAAGCAGAGAATATTGGAGGACGGTCTTTACTTACTCCTCCTAATGATCTTATCATCAATGTTGGTATGTGCATGTACATGTACATAGTGACTGGCAGTATATTTATGATAGCACTAATTTTTTGTTGCAGAAAATTTTGCCAAAGTGTTTTGTTTGATGAAAATGTCTAATGCATGCTTTTATATTTTAAAGTATATGGTTCATAATGGAATCATGAAAAATTACTGACGATTATTAATGCATAAAGCACCTTATTTTGAACTTGCTTTTTTCTGACATACTTAGGTAAAAATATTGTTGAGCTGATGCATGCATTAATTCAGTAGCTATAAGAAGTTGAATACTCTCCTTTTTATGTATTATTTAATTTTCTCCTTTTAGTCCTTTCTGTAACAAACTACAAAGTATCAAATGGCTCCAGTCCTACATTATTATGTATGCATGTAGACTCACCAATAACTACAGCAATGTGGAGTTTTAATGGAAATGTACTAAGTAATAGCTCCAAGTATACCCTCACTGCTAACTCAACACAGCTTGTTATAAATAATGTGATCTTATCAGATGCTGGTGTATATTACTGTCAAGCTAGTAATAGAGGTGGATCATCTACTGCAGGAATTAATCTTGATGTACAAGGTATCAATTTTTAATTTATAATAATCAGGCCTATGGTAATAGTAATAAGTAACAGTAACAACTACAGGGTATAATGAATAATAATTGAGTCTCTGTAAACTGTAATAATGGTCAAGTTAAATCCTTTATAACTTATGATGTATTGTAATAGTAATATTTATTGTAATAGTAATAAGGAGAGAAGTCTGAGAAAAAATCATGTTATTACAATCATTACTTTTATGTTTGTAATTTTTACACTTTTATAGTTCCAGCTGTAGTGAGGGCTGATTTTAAAACTGTAAATACTGTCATTAATGCTACTTCAACTATTTCATTTACTATCATTAATGGGAACGAATTAAGTTATACCACTCAATGGCATTTTATGCAACTTGGCACTAATTCATACATTTCTCTTAGCTCAAAGATTTTTGATTCCACTCATTTGTCAGATGATGGTCTCACATTAATGTTACCATCTTCTCAGTTACATCATAGAGGAACATACAGGATTACTGTGAGCAATCTTGCTGCTAATGTCACTGCAACTGCTAATTTTGATGTGTTTGGTAAGTTGCATGAAATCAATGACAGTTATATACTTTTTTTTCTTTCTTTGTGTATAATAGTCCCTGCTAAATTGCTATACACAGCTGGTGTGAGTTTAGAGAAGGAGAGAAGACAGAATGTATCATTCAACTGTACTGCTGATGGAATACCAATGCCTACCATTGTGTGGAGGAAAGATGGTCATTTAATTATTCCATTTCATAAAAGGAGTATAACAGTACGAAGCTCAACTGGTTTTCGCTCAAGCATAATACCAGGAGTATTACAGACTACTAGCATCTTGACTATTAGTGATCTTACTGGATCTGATGATGGCAGATATTCTTGCAGAGCTGATAATAAAGCAAATATTGGAACTGTTTTGATAAAGCCTTTTATTCTCACTATTGTGGAACGTAAGTATTAGCATTATGTATTGAATATCAATAAACTTTAATTTTATTTTTTTATTTTTAGCTCCTCCACCTAATTTCTGCCTTGGTTCCCCATGTGTAAATGGGGATTGTCACAGTTTGTTTGATGGCTATTACTGTGTATGTCCTGAGACACATACTGGGATAAACTGTGATGAAGGTAACTGAATAGATTTAGTAATTTTTGATGTAATGAGAACTGACTGAAGTGAGAGAGATGAGTATATAAGGAAGGAAAAAGAGAAGCAAAATGCATGTCAGATATTTTTGACTCATTGTTTTGTTATCATTGCAGAAGTGATAGTTACGATCCCACCAGTTATCATTGAACCACCTCAAACAACAACTTCACGATTATATTCCTCAGCCAGTCTCACTTGTAGAGCTACTGGCTCTCCTACTCCATTGATTTTTTGGTACAAAGACAATAGGTTAATTACTAATACAAATCCTGATTCTTCTGTTCTGTTGTTTAATGAAATGTCATTGAGTGACAGAGGGTTTTATCACTGTGTAGCTGTAAATGTCATTGATGGAAAGAATGTATCAGTTGTTTCATCTACAGTATTACTTAATATAACAAGTAAGAATAATTGTGAACAATGTATTTTTTGTTGATGGAGGAATTAAGTGATTTGCCATGTTTTAGGGCACATGTGACAAATTTTGATGTACATACCATATTTTTAATAGATGTGGTCCAATATGAAGCTGTGATGACCTTACCAGTTGATTTTTATGACAAACTAAATGACACAGAGTCAGAGGATGCCATTAGACTGTTGATCATGCTCAGCAATGATTATCTGTCAGGGAGCAATGTCAGTGATACTTCATTCTTTTTTATTGAGATACTTGGCATTGATGAAGAAGAGTAAGTGTAGCTGTAGTCATTTTATTATTACTGCATCTTCTTCTCTATTTTAGCCCTGAGCCTCATAGTATACCAGTAGTAGTGACTTTAGTAACTGAGAGAGGTCAAGGTGATCAAATGCTTTTAACTGGCGTCAGAAATCAACTGGATTCACTAAGGGAGCAATTAAGAGTTGAAATATTTATAGCTGCTGTCAGTAGATTTGGTAAATTGTAGTTATGTAATCAGGTTCTTTTTGAGTAATGGTACTGTTAGCAAAAAAACATGGACTATAGCTCAATCATCAATTTTAATAAATTGTTTAAAAATTTTTTTATAGATTTTATACATAATTGTTGTGCATATGCTTTGCAGGGTTTTCACAAAGCATGCTAAGTGAGCTAAACAGTATGTGCTGACAAGCACTTACATGGCATTTAAAGCAACTTCAAAAATTTTATAAAAAATTTAAAATTAATCAGAATCAGCTCAAATTTTCTACACAACATGAAAACATGTATAAGTATCAGAAAAACTTATAAAAATGCAAAATTTTTTTCTAGCCATTTTTGATGAAAATTGGCCAAAGTCACTGTGCTATAGTACAGGGTTTGTGGCCCAATTTTTGAGAAACTTTAAAAATTCATAAAAAATTTGAATTTGATCAGAATTAGTTCAAAGTTGATACACAACACAAGGACATGCATATGCATTAGAAAAAATTATAAAAATGGAGAGTTCTTCCCTAACCATTTTTGGCGAAAATTGGCCCAAGTCACTGTACTATAGTACAGGATGTTTTGTCCAATTCTTGAGAAATTTAAAAATCTTTAAAATTCAAATTTGATCAAAATTAGTTCAAAAACACAAAGACATGGATACAAATAAAAAATTATTAAAATGGTGAATTCTTTTCCAGCCATTTTTGACAAAAATTGGCTGAAGTCACTGTACCATTCCCAGTATAGCACGGGTGCAAAAGTTGTGGCAGCCATTTTGAAGTGGGGTGAATTTTACTTAGTAACGCTACCGCATTACTAATAGTATAGGGTGTTTGGCCCAATTTTGAGAAAATTAAAAATTTATTAAAAATTCAAATTTGATCAGAATCAGTTCAAAATTAATACACAACACTAGGACATGCATATGCATCAGAAAAATTATAAAAATAGAGAATTCTTCCCTAAACATTTTTGGCATAAATTGGCCAAAGTCACTGTACTATAGTACAGGGTGTTTGGTCCAATTTTTGAGAAACTTAAAAAACTTTTAAAAATTTAAATTTGATCAGAATTAGTTCAAAAACACAAGAAAATGTGTACAAATAAAAAAAATTATAAAATTGGAAAATTCTTTTCCAGCCATTTTTAACAAAAATTGGCCAAAGTCACTGTACTATAGTACAGGGTGTTTGGCCCAATTTTTGAGAAATTGTAAAACTCATTAAAAATTTAAATTTGATCAGAATCAGCAAATGTTGTGTATAAAGACATAAATTGTGTATGAGAAAAATTATAAAAATAAAGAATTCTCTTCTTGTAATTTTGGTCAAAATTTCTTATAGTACTAGGTTTTTTGGCCCTAATTTTGAGCACACTTGGCAACCCACTGGCAAGGTTAAGAAGTTGCATGAGTACTGTGCCAGAATCCTGTGGAAAACCCTTGTGCTCTAGCTGAGATTTTGTGCCAGCTTTCCAATTTCTGTGAAGCAAATAATTCTCATCTTAATTTTACTCCAACCAAAATTTACTTATTTTATCCATGTACATGTAGATGGTTGTCTATCAAGCTCCACTGTAATCCCTTCTCCATCTGGTGATCCTGATCTTAGCTTGACAGTTACATGGCCTGAGACTAACATTGGTGTATTAGCAATTGTTGATTGTCCATGTGGTACTAATGGCACATCAGGTGGTGGTAAGCTACAAGCTACACGTTATTGTGGAGGTGATTTTACTAATGGAGCAGCATGGCTCACACCTAATGTGATGAGATGTAACTTCAGTGACTTAGCTAGAAGAATATGCCATCTCTCAGACGTAAGTAATACACAGACTGTAGTTGGGGAAGTTTATGGGCTTACTTGAACCCCTTCAAATTTAAACAAAGTAGCTTAAAAGGCTGTATTTCAATAGAAGTTACTGCATACTTGTTAGCCCCACCTAAATCTAGTTAGACTACATATGCATGACATATTCTTTTCTCATCATAGGCTCACTTAAAATGTTCAGTATTAAAACATAAATTAGTATTTTCTGTAATTTCATTTATTTGTAGCTGCCAGTGAGTGACAGAGTTGAAGAGCTTGAGATATTAACTAGTAACAGTACTGTGCTGGGGGCCACTGAAGTGGCGGCAAGTGTTAGTGTATTACTAACTGCCACGGATGATCTGGCTGGAAATTTAACAGTAAATGCATAATAATGATAATGGTAATTAATATTATATTGGCTATTATAGTTGACAACAACATTTTTTGAAGTGGTTGACAACATTTTAGTTGTAAGTCAAGATGTCTTACAGGAAAGTCAAGAGTCATCCAATACCTCTTCAAGGTCAATAATAATATTTATAGTCATTTTTATACAGTTTTTTCTAATACAGGATACTTGAAGCCATGAACAATGTAGTTGATAATATTCCAATTGCAAATACTTCAGAACCTATCATCGTGGCACAAAAATCATTTGCTGTTTCAGTCCAGGAAGTTGACCTTGAAACATTTAGCAGATTGGGTCAAACTTTTAGTGTCGATATTGCTGATTTTACTCAACAAAATATCAACTCTGAGGATCTCTCATTTGAAAACAATGCAGTCTCTCCACCAACTAGCACCATTCAACTGCCTAGCAATCTCTTCTCTTCACTGCCTGAGAATAGTAGTAGAATATCTCATGCTGTTTTTGTGACAGATTCACTCTTTCTGAGGCGTAGTAATCTCAGCTATCAAAGGGTCAGTAGTGTAATTATATCAGCAAGTGTTGTTGGAGCAGGAACTATTAGGAATTTGAAACCTCCAGTTAATCTTGGATTTCAACTTAATCCAGTAAGAGTTGTACTTTTTATTTTATTAAATTTATTTTTTATTAATTTAGAATGTCATTGGGTCATACCCACAGTGTACATTTTGGAATCAGTCCTTAGACGGTATGAGCTGATGTGTGAGTGTAGTTATGAGTCTTTTTTTGTACCCTCTTTTAGGTGGTTATGGTGACTGGTCCAGTGATGGTTGTACTACTTTATCAGGTTCTGCTGGTTCACAAGTTACTTGTAACTGCAACCATTTAACAAATTTTGCTATATTACTGGTAAATATATCATGCACACCATTAATTGACATATCAAATATGTATGTATAGGATGTGTCTCCTCTTGATCAACCTACTGAGAGGACAGCGATAACATTATTTCTTGACTCAGCATCTTACATTGGCATTATAGTGTCCATCATTTGTCTTATTATTACTATAATCTCTTACTTATTGAGCAAGTAAGGAAATTCAATACATGCATAGCAAATTTTGTGATCAGGCGGCATTGTAAAAGTTGATTTATTGTGTTGCTCATTTTTTTATTAGGAAATTAAGGTCATCTGATCATGGCCAGCTACTCCTCAATCTTTGTTTTGCTTTATTGGGTCTCTATCTCTCATTCATTGTTGCCCTACATAGTAAGAACACAAATGGCTTCTGTGCATTTGCTGGTGCTGTCCTCCAATATTTCTTTCTTGTCACTTTTGCTATAATGGCTGCCGAAGCCATCAACCTGTATATTAATCTTGTGATAGTTTTAGGACGTAAAATACAGTCTTTTACTCTTAAAGTGACAATAGTCTCATGGAGTAAGTAATTCATTTTAATGAAAATTATGACTATGTTCTTTTTATAAATAGTTGCCCCAGTTTTTGTTGTCCTTTTGTGTTTTTCTCCAGACTACAGAAATTACATCAGCAACCCCCCAAATTTGTAAGTGTTTATAAAAAAGATGAATGAAAAATTTAACTTAATAAATTCAAAATTAATTTTTATTTTCAGTTGTCGTGCTTTCAAGGCTCCTTTTTATATCGGTGTGGTCCTGCCCTTCACCATCATATATATATTTAATTGGATTGTATTTGCCATCATTATAGTATCTCTGTTACGTAAGAACTTTTCATCAAAACTGAAGGAACTCAAGAAAGACAACTCAAAGTTTTTCTTCAGACAGCAACTGATCATAGCAATTACACTGTCCATCCTCTTTGGGTTAGGCTGGGGACTGGGTCTATTAGTCACTCAAGAGATTTATACTAATAAGACTGTTCGTGATCTTTTTGCTGCTCTCTTTGTCTTATTGACTGCATTCCACGGTTTCTTTATCTTCATTATGCATTGTGTACGTTCTAAAGATGCTCGAAGCGTATGGAAGAGAGCTTTCTTTGGTGTCACTGGAAGAGATTTTACTGAATTATCTTTGTCAACATTTAACTATGTGCGTGGTAAGTCTAATGGAAGTACAAACACTCCTATGAGGTCTCCTCATCGTAAGGTTTCGTCTGAGAAGAGCTTGTCTACGAGGGATTCATTTTCTGAGGGAAAAACTTTTTATAAGAAAGGAGGAAGTGGCCAGTCAACACAACATGAATGTACTAAGAAGAAAGAAGAAGAAGTGGAAGGAGAGATAAAAGAATTAGAAGTAAGAGCAGTAGATAATGACTATGCTGCAATTGAGGACACTGGTTTTGACTTTGAGACAGATGGTCAAGGCACTTTGAGGTTTTACACAAAAAAATATCAAGACCATGTCGAAACTCAGTTTGACTCTCTCAATGAGGGAAAGAGTACTGATGAGGCTAAAAAGGAAGAGGTGCCATTATCAAAAGAAGGAAATGGACATAAACTTCATGTTAATGTCCCCAGTTTGCTCCAGGAAGAAGAACCTGTGAAAAAGAAGGAAGCCATTTCTGTTAAATCTTTCCCAGATGACGATGAAGATGAGAAGAGAAGGTTAAGAGAGGAAGAAGACAAAGCATATGATGCCTATCATAAATAAGCATGAGAACATTACTTTTAAAATGATGAAAGTTGTTTTATTTTTGTGTGAGTTTATATACATACATCAAACTTTTAAAAAGTGAAAAATAAGTACCTTTAATAGCTCTCTCACTTTGCAAAACTGTGACAACTCGAAATATTAATATTGTTGTGTTAACTAATCATAATTTCTGTCAGTCTGTATGCATGTATTTATTGCAAAGTTTTGTCTTTATTACTGATGGAGATATAATGCTCATTCCTTTCTATTGTTTTGTTTTATATTACAGTGTGAATTTGGAAGCAACATTTAACTGACCCTGCTTACTGATTTAATTATTATGGGTGATTCAATGCATCAACATTTCAATATTTTTAGTAATAATCATAGTGTTGCTGTGCTTGCTCAAGCAAATGATTGGGCCATATATATACTAATAGCATTATTTAATTATGTACAATGTATACTATAAATAGTGTGCGTTAGTGTTGTGCTTTATGTTTTGTTAGTCAGCTGTCTATGCATGACTCATGCAGTGGAACTGACAAAAGGTACCATTGGGCGGTTAGTTAAATTCATTTTTAAAGTGAAAAGTTTCAACTTGCAAGTGTTTGTTGACAAAGCACTGTTTGCAAAAATTGACAAAAAACTTTTTGCACTCATTCCTAAAAGATTAGTTCACTGAACTGAACATGTGCAAGTTGACCATTTTTACTGTAAAAATACCTGCGAAAATAATGGTACCATTTGTCAGTTCCAGTTACTAATAATAATAATAATTGATTCAGTTCTTTTGTGGTTCTTTCTCTATGTCTTACTCTTTAAAATGATCAGTTCAGCTATAGCCTAGCAGCTATTTGCCTACTCTCTGCTTTAAACTCTCACATTACACACATTCCATTCTTATTTAATTATAATAATCAAAACAGTAAATTAATAACATTTATGACATCATGTCATAATATTAGATCATAACCCTACTGCTACAATTATTTACTATAGCTAGTTATACTAATTAAAGTAGTAGTGACTGTTTAGATTCATGAATAATAGGAATCAGACCACCCATGTGTTTAAAGCATAGTATATATAGAATTCTAGCAGCCAAGAAGCCAATCATAGCTACTACAACATAGTCTAATAAGCAATGTCCTTTTCTGTTTTTTCTGTTGTTTTGCTCTTCTATTTTCTATCTCCTGTTTCAGCTCAGTCTGACTGCTCTCTACCTTCCCAGTCAAATATAACTCATTTCATCACAGGATTTCTTATTCACAATGATGGAAGTGTGGAATATTCTCCTACAATCATTGGTTCTGTGCATTATGTATGTCAAGCTCAAGGCAGCAGTAGAGGTACTTACAGATCTCTCTCTATCATTGCTACCTACACTCCTAATCCTGGACAGTCTCAGACAAGAGGTATATTCCAGTTAATGTGTAGCTCTGGATCATGGGAACCTGATCTTGATGGAGGAATTCCTGTACCAGTGTCTGGGCTCATTGATATACCCACTCGCACTGACTGTCTGCTCTGCAATCATACCTTTGGCAATGATAGGTGTCAAGGTAAAATTTCTGAATTTTTTGTGTGTGGGATGTACCTTAATGCATTTGACCAGGGAGAACATTTTAAATCAAATATTTTGTTTCACGAGTGTTGTTTAAAGCCTAAGTTAGTCAAAGCCTATAATCCTTAGTTCAAAACTTAGAGATAAAAACAGATTTCTAAACCAATTAATTAACTAGGGAGAACTATAGTGTGTTCATACTACCTCCCCAGCTGTACAGAACTGTACCTAATTAGATTAGTTTGGTTATAAAAGAACCATGTTGGTAGCAGTTCACACTGCACAACTTAATTATACCAACTTAAATTCATGACTTAACTACACCATTTCAGAGCACCTATTCTGTTGCACCACTTTAGCCTAGTTTGGTTTGGTTACAGTGCAGTTCAGTTATGTTCACACTTTTTATAAAACTACACTATACTTCCCCAAAACCCAGTTCCAGTGCAGTTCTGAAGGGTAGTGTAAACACAGCATTAGTCTTGCGTAGCCAGACTGGAGAGTCTGGCTGTGTGAGACCAGGAGGGACTATCTGAGAGTATGCAAAATGAGGATTATTGACTAAAAGAAATCTGAAAATTCTTGGTACTCCATTTGAACAGTATTTTGATTCTGTGTAACCATCACATAGTATCTTGTTCTATATGTCAAACCTTCTTCCCCCCCTATCTCTCTCTCACTATTTTTTATTTCATTTTGTTTACATTTGGGAAGCCAAACTATTTCTTGGCTCACAGTCTTTTTGTTTATGTGTTTGTGCTTTTGTATATTTCCTTTTCATTTCTTTTATCTTATACCGTATAGCGCAAAATTTTCAAGGGCTATAAATTTTGTGGATTTCGCATTTTTTAAAAGATTTGCAACAATCTACTTCTGCAAAAATAAAATTATTATGGCACAAAATGGCAGATGGCATAAATTAGCAAAAATTAAATCCGCAAAATACATTTTTGGGGCAAATTTGTGAAATTTACAGCCCTTAAAAATTTTGCAGTATAACTGGATTCTTTTCCTTCTCTATAGCCTGTGACAGTAGTTGCAATACTGGTCTCAGAAGATGTGTTGGATTACAAACCAATTGCTGTTCTTATTTCTCTCCAACTGATCAGTGTACCACACAATGCCCCACTAACTTTAATGCATCTGCTTCTGATGGCTTCATTTGCAGTAAGTGCAAGCCACACATTATATAGTGACTGAACTATTTGAATTAGTAAATTTATTGAAAGTACTTTAAGTTTGGTGATTTTTTATTGTGCTAGCCCAGGTATAATACACATGTGCACAAAATTTCAAACTAAAAACTAACAAGATTTTTTGTAGCAAAATTGCCAAATCAAGTGCCAACAAATTATAGTGGTATTACTTTGTTCCCCCACTATAGTTTGTAACAATAGCTGTGAAGCTGGTTATACTCTAAACACTACTACCTGTACTTGTTCACTATCAAATATATGTGAACTGAGTCCTTGTCAGAATGGAGGTAATTGTACACTTGTTTCAGCTCCTTCTAATTACACATGTGATTGTACTGGCACTAGCTATCAAGGAATTAACTGCTCAATCCTTATTCGTAAGTACAATTGTATTAAGAATCCATCTATTATCACATTCAACAGGAGATTGCACCATGGAGTTATCCATGATTGCAATATCTCTACAACAAGAGTAAAATTACTTAGTTGTATCCTTAATAATATATAATCACCCACTTAACAAAATAAATCAACTAAAAAACTCTTGTTGCAAGGATTATACAATCTCCAGTACCAACCCTCTTTAATGAGATTTACTGGCTTTATATACTTTCACTCATAGATCAAGATACATTTGCTGATATTTTATGTACACATACAACTTACAATGTACTTCACAGGTCCTTTACCTCATATTTCATGCATAAGTAGTGTTCAGTGACTTTTGTATAAGTTTAGAGAAAAATAATGTTAGAGAAATTAGGGTAATGATATAGTTACTGTATTCCTCTACCTCTTTAGTGAGCTTTTTATGTAATTAACACTATCATATTTTATCTTTTTATTCACTCTTTTTTCCTTTTCTTTCTATCCTTTTCTCCTGCTGCTTTCCTTTCTTTTCAGAGAAAATTGTATCATTTGTAATATATTCAATTTTTGATTTCTGTTTGATGTAAATTGGAATTTGTCACTGTGGCAAACCCATGCACAATACTACTTTTTATTTTGATGATAAATTTACTCTGATTTTTACATCATTAATGCTTGAATGCATAATGTGTATATTATGAGATAATTAATTTTTATATAGGTTGCATTGATGGATCAATTCGTCTTGTTGATGGTACTAACAGCTCAGAGGGACGTGTTGAAGTATGCAGTGGTGGAGTGTGGGGTACAGTCTGTGATGACCACTGGGACAACACTGATGCTAGGGTTGTATGTAGACAACTGGAATATGACTCAGGTAAGGAAAGGTTTATACTTTATAGGCTGCACTGTGACTA